AGGTGGCTACCGCTGAACAAAGAGAGGAGCAAAAAGAACGCGAACCGTCATCCGTCGGGACAACGCGAGAGAGAGAGCTCTCGCTCACTCGAAAATGATTGAATCATTGAGCCGCTGTTACCGCTCGTTACGAAAATGCGGTAATTCGTGAAGGACATACGACGTGCGTCATACTTGCCGATGCACTCTTTGCGTTGTNAAAAAAAAAAAAAAAAAAAAAAAAAANAAAAAACGTTGCGTATCTCGTTTCGACTCGAACTTTTTTCTCTCCTTAAGCCGGATTTATTTATGATCACGCAAAAAATTCATTCTCGTTAAACCGATCGTCACGGATATTTTCATGCTTCGTTAAGAACGACTTGGCGGCTTTCAGAAAGACTCATTGATTTTGATCACATTAATCTTTGCTTTAATAAATTGAATTGGCTTTAATTTTTTTTTCAAAAAGCACCGAGAACGAAACTTGTTTATTTAATAGATTCACGTGTATTTGAGATATCACGTGCATAAAATATACAAGGGATGTATTGGGAGAAGAGGAACATGTGAAATCGAAATATCACGAGACAACGTCTTAAATTGAATTAATTAGTTATTATTCATATTTTATACAATAGTAATCGTAATTAAGGTGTGTTTTAGTTCTCGTAATATTCTATATCCGTACAAGGGTACTCGCGATAAAGTCGATAAATTGGGATCTGCCGTGTTATATTCTATATGTATATAGACGATTTTTTTTTTCTAGGCCTCTCTTGTTTTCTCTCACGTTCTCGCAAATTCTTTACATTCTTATCACAAAATCATATTTTACACAGATTCACTTACAGCTTACATGCTAGAGGGCCCCGGTGCAATATTTACAGACGTTCGGTGTTCGATCTGGCCTCGGCCTCGCCGAGTCCGATCGATCTCCGATGGCTTGCACCGAGACTAGTAACGCTAGTAAATTCTATGGACTCTTTTTATACTGTTTACCACGCTCTCTCTCTCTCTCTCTCTCTCTCTCTCTCTCTCTTTCTCGCTTTTTTTTCTGTCGCTCTCTTAAGTTCGCACTCGTTCTTGCACGCGGCGCGCTGTCATAACCGCGCGTATCTCACGAATGCGTGGCAAAGGTGAGCCACGCCGCGTTTCACGGCTGGTTTTGCACGCTGTTCATCGAAGCTGTCGGATCGATGTATTTTTGCATCACATTAATGGTCGGGTTAATGTCATCATCTGACGCACACTTTATGTATTTTGCAAACTGATTATATTCACATATAGAATATAAATTTTGTATTTTTCTTAAAAGCGTGTTTATTTTCTGAAATTTAATATAAATATTACTTTTATTTATAATATAAATATGTATATATATATATATATATGTATATATATATTTGTATATATGCGCATATTACATATATGCATATATACAAATCTCTTAATAAATTAAAATAAGAAAAATATTTTAATATTTGACTGTTTTTTTAAATACTAAAACAATTTTCTACGGAAAATTTTTTTTCCGCCAATCGTGACTATACGAAATACATCGATTTCGCTACACCGATAAAACCGCGTGCCTCATTCACTTTGACCACGTCAATTGTTTTACGCTGTTTTTCGCATTTTCCGGTTTTACACGCAATTTAGGAACTGAGGGGAGCTTCGTCTTAAATTATACACGCACACACTTTCTTATTGCACCGAATCAAAAACGCAAGAACCCGTGCGAGAAGGCCGTCTCGTGCCTTCCAGTTCTCCGCAGCGCGGCTTGCGGTTAAATCTAACGGCACTTATTATTATACACGGGAAAAGAATCGTCGCGTAGTTGTCGCCACCGCCGCCGTCGTCGTCGTCATTGTCGGTGCATCCTTCGCGTGCACAGACATGTCGCCTCGACGACGACGCGAAACGTCACGACGTAGAAAATCCGCGTCGTTCAGGCGCAGCGACATCGATCCCCGAAACGTAGCCTACCTCCCAGCCTGCTTTCTTTTATTCCGCCCGTTCAGGACTTTTTACGCAAACTCACGCGACGTACTCGCGTACCAGTGTTCAACAGCAAACGCGATCGACACAAGCGGAAGGGCATAAAACTACTTTTGTACTGTTCTCTTTGTGCACCATAGGGCAAAACCCGGCAGCCTAATCCGTCTCGAGTTTCCGCGCCGCGCCGACGCGCGCGGGCGTCGACGCTTTTCGTCGATTCTTAGAGAACCTGGGAAATTGGATAGAGAATTGTACGTATGCATTACACATGAGATCTCGCGTATTTAATCGCTCTATCGATACACGGCTTGGAAAACTGCACATGGCTCTGGGAGTACATTTGATTGTTTAATATTTTATACGCAGCTGCTTTAAACGCGTTGTCTTAATTGTAAAATAGTAATGCAAATTTATATCTTCCGTTTCATGCAATTTTCTGAGGTGTGAAGATTTAGTCTATTGCAGTTACGGGTTAACGTGCTTACGGTGGGACCATGTCGGGTTTCAATAAAAAAAAAAACAAAAAAAAAAACAAACAAAAAAATGTAATTATGATTTTAATTTTAAGTGTAATATAAAATTTGAATGTCAGTTTTGCAAGAAGTTTTTGTTTGAGATGGGACTGAGGTTCTGGCGGTTTTTCATCGTGACATGTGCCGAAACGGTAATGTCAATCAGGGCAACGGAAAAGACAGAATCAGGAAGAAAAAGGACGGTGCGGGACTACGCGTTCTCATGCGACGACGACCATTGTTACACGAACGAGACAGTGGATCTGGGTCAGCGGTGGGGCCCGCCGACCCTCCCAGTTTCCCGCGGTTGCAAGCCGCAGTTGTCGTTTTTGCGGTTTAGCGTCGTCTCTCTTGGAAAGTTAGATATTGCGCGACGCAAGATGGCAAGGGTGACCCAATATGGCCGACAGAGGACAGCGAAGAAGAAACAGCGTAAAACAGTCCGTTGCATCGTTCACCCGCAACTTGACCAGCGTGACGGTCGCGATACTAGATGTCTAGTATCTAAAGGATTCGAAACATTGGTTGTCGAATCGTTGAGAAGCGGAAGAAAAGAGAGATGCTCTAATCAATAAAAGCCTCAAATGAAAATCGCGCGAGCATCATTTTATTTAATTCATTGAGGTAATTTCATTAAGTTTACTAATCTGCAACATATACTTTTTGAAATAAAAAGTGCACAACAATATAAATATATTCAAAAAACTGTTTTAAAAATAAAAAGAAATAAAGTTCCTTGACATTTCTTAATAAATTCAAACATCGAGAACATTGCTCGGTCGACATCGTGACTTTTTTTCTCATCTCGTTTCCCGAGTTACCGTCCCTTCGTTTGTTTCTCGCGTACTTCTCTCCTCTTCGGAGAAGGACGGTTGCCTCATCCGGGAAGGAGGGACCAGTGATTACAGCGAGCCACTGTGATTGCTGAGATCGTTTGACTCACGAAAATGTCATTAGGATTTCATTACTTCCAACCGCCTTGAGGAATGACTGCTCAACGAGTTTATGCAACATTGTCTCTCTTTTTCCTCTTGTTTCTCTTTCCTCTTTCTATCCTGTCGCGCGCGACTCCACCAATCCTGTCATTCCTCTCCGACTATCGCGCGGGATGCAGCCTGCGCACGAAGTAGGTCGAATGCGCTCGCGATTGTTGGGCAACTGTCACAAAGAATCGATCGGCCTAACGTCATCGGCAATTGACATTTGCGAATAGAAATTGATTTTTTAAAGATGCACGATCGTGCCACTCCGAGCTGATTCAGAGAGGTGACGAAAATATCGGACGGATTGAGCCGCGCTGGAAAGGATAGCCCGACCTGGTCCCGACGTTGTTTGCCAGGGAGTATGTTAAGCTTGTGTCTTACAGATAAGTGCCAAGCGAGCTCCAAATGTAAATCAGGAATGTCAAACTTGACCCGCGTTTAATTTTTATAGATCATATTTATTATCGCTAGTATTCTATCGCATTTGTTTTCGATAATCACCAACATTTAAATAAATGGGTGGGAGAGTTACATGTGAGTTTAAAATATTTCTTATGCAAAAATAAATTGAACAAAATATTTTGTATTTGCACATTAGTAGATTTTATTTGTCAATACCAGTATGATGAATTAAAAAAAAAAGAAAATTCTTCATTAAAAATTAAACTCTCTCATCTCTTGATGGTATATTTTTTGATTATCAGATTTAATGAGTACGTTCAGATACTAATTGTGCTTCGCAATAATAGCAGCAATGTGTATCAGAAGTCTGAAATTTAATTATTAAATCACAAAAAATTGCATCAATTGCATTAAAATGTTTGAAAAAATGTTCATATATTTTTTTAAAAATAAATTAAAACTAAAGAAGAGTTTCTCTTTTCACCATTATCGACTTCCGATATACAATAAATTAACATCTAGTTGCTCTGTTTGATTACTTTTTTTTGGTAACACATAATTGCAATGTTTACGTCAATTCGATATTTTTTTTTGTAAAAAATAACGATTACAGTTGATCAACAATTAATCGCAGCAATTTATATATATGTATAAAAATCGGCATGGACTTGTTCATGTTTCACAAACAGCGAACATATTCACAATGAAAACAATTACTACGAGACAATCTTCGCTTATAATTAACCGTAGTAATCAAATTAGATTCATTGCACGCAATCGCGACGGTTGACATGAACAGATATAAAGAGAAGCTGTTTTATTTCCCGGGAAAAAGATTCCTCGCGATTCTTATCATTTTTTTTTTTTATTTTTTTTTCTGTAGCGACAACGATTACTTGCCAAACACGAAAAGCGTTACAGTCGTGACAACCATTCACTCATGCGAAGCCTTACAAGTGCGCGTTCCAATTTCACAAATCGAACTTCAAGATCACCATTAAACAACGTCGTTCCGCAGAAATATAATATTATGTCGGGAACGATCACGAATAAATTTTTATTCAATAAATCACTTTTCGGTAATTTTACGTCGTGAAGCGCTGTTATCGACATTATTTTATCACTCTTTTTTTTTTTTTTTTTTTTTATTACATTTACTTCACCGTGCGGCGTGACGACGTCGCTCCTCTCTTCCAACCAACGTCGATTCCACAGAACGAGAAGAGAACGTCTCGCAGCACCACAAAAACGTGCACCGAAACTGTCACTTATTTCAGCAAGTGTCACTCGATGCACGGATCGTTCATGACTTCCGGTTCTTCGAGACCGTAGACCCGTTAACAGATAGACCACGTTGACTGGAAACTCGAACAGTCGTCCTCTTCGCCAGCTTCGAGAACGTTCTTTGATAGCGATCGATTCAAGATTGACGCTCGTGACTGCATCATCGTTAGTACTATTAATATTTTACTAAAGGGCGTGTATATTACACACATACACACACGACGTCGCACTGCTATTCGTACTGTTTTCACTTCGACGGACGGCCCGCACGGATACCGGCATGCGGGTTTTCTTTAGACGATTAAAACCAATATTAACATTCAATTTTCCTCGCGAGAGGCGCTACATATTCACACTTTGGGGCGAGACCACTGAGATACGTGTCCGCGGCAACGCGAAGAGATGCTTCACCTGAAGTTAGGTCGAGGGACATCTTCGTTAAACCGCTGGCCATACTCTGTAAAACAAAAATGCGAAGACAACCGTTCGATTAGAGAACATTGACACACGTGTGACAAAGAAATTTTCGCAAAATTTTATACAATTTTCCCCGATCTATTCGATATGTTTAATTTTTTACCAATATTCCGAAATTTATCCGATAAATAAAACTTGAAAAATAATTAATTTCATTGACTCCAATAAGTAATTAATTTGAGTTTAGGTACCAAAGTATGTATGTGTCTGTTGAAATAAACGTGAAATATTATTTCTTCGCAATACAAAAATATAATTTATCCTGCTTGGTATTTATTATTCTCTCTCACGCACACGTCGGTAGTTATTATATTATTAAGAAGATATGCGGTAACTTTTAAAAGCTTCCTGAATCGCAACGCGATGAATATTACTCGCCAGGCGAGTAAGAGATAAATTTGTCGTGTCATGTTGGTTCTCGGTGAATAGAAGAAACGTCCAACATGTCCTAAGGGGACACGTGACTGGCAGTACCAGTTTACGTTAAAGTAGCGCTGATTGACGCGTCGCACTTTAATCCCAAATTGAAAATGTCTATGACTGAGTATCGAACTGTTCAATCCCGTTCATACAAAAATCAACGATTGATACAAACTGTAGCAACTACGATGACAAAGCTATATCATCAAATACGGAACTTTAAGTAACACTATTCTTCGCATTGTATATAAAACGGAATTTATATTAGACATCGCGTTATAAACTAAAATATTTCATAGATCGATAGGTTTCTACAATTAGTAAATATCGAATAATAATATTGAATATCAATATCTCTCTCCTTAATTTTGGCCAAAAAATTGAACTTATGCAATTTACTTTGTCTTCAACATACAAAGATACCCTATGTGCGAGTTAAATATTATTTTAGATGCAGATCAATTTCGCAATAATCTCTAGCTTCCAAAAGGTTATGAATTAAACCTCCATCGATGTTGACTTCGTTCGCGACTCGAAGAAGCAGCACTTACGTGAGTAGTCCGGGATTGGGATCCGCCTGGTACCAGGAGTACTGCGGCATATAACCCGCGTGATGCGGCGGCGGTGGCGGTGGCGGTGGATGATGCCCGGCCGTGTGCGGATGATGATGGGTATGGGGCGGCGCGTGAGGATGAGGGTGATGCTTCATCTCTCCGGGCCAAGCGGGCGCCGGCGGGCTCTCGTTGTGCTGAGGCGACATCTCGCTTCCGGGGCTCGAGCTCCCGGGAGTGTGACCGCCGCCCCCGCCACCCATACCGCCTAGGTAACCCGTCGTCGGACTGCCCGACACGGAACTTCCGCCTCCTGAAACACAAACGCGAACCGGGAACCATTTCAAAACTGCTCCGTGTCTCCGCGGCCGCCGTCGCATTCACAGTCGCCAGTGCTGCGTTACTGCAGCTGCGTGCGCCTGAATGGGACCGCCGTCGTAAATTGTATTAATCGTGCGAGGGAGCTCATTGTGCGCGCTAATGCATCTGTTGGCCACCTCGGGACGGAAAAGAGTTTCCAGAGTGGTCACGCGCACGTTCGATTCCGCGACCTCTAAAGTTGAGCCCGGGGAACAAGAGGTGTAATATACATATACATAGCACATCCCTCACTGTACGTCACGCTTCCGTGATATTCGGCCATTTAGAAGCGCTTTGATTTTTATCTTCCCCGAAACTTTGTGTTACCTTGACGCTATTCTTAAGCACGGGGTGGCTGGAGTTTTGTACTCATTAGGATAAGTAATGAGACACATTATAAAATGCATATATTTTTCCACATTTATCTGAATACCCGCGGGACATTTAAGCTAAGAGAATAATATTAACACGACTAGCTTTATTTAATTACGTTAATACATGATAAAAATATATTCTGACAATCGTTGATGTAAAATTATGAACAAAAGGAGAATATAATTTTTATCGTTTTTATACACATTATATAAATAAAAAATAAAATAAAATAAAATTGTATATACAGGTACACTCGAATCTTACTGCGTGAGATGATGATGCGTGTCGGGAAGTATGTGAACATGCACATGAAATTTTGCTACGTTGAGTGGCACTCCTAGCGAAGAGAAATTTCTCAAGATGAGGTTAATTACGTTGCGTCTCTCGTGGCGAGCATTTCCGAATAAATCACTCACGAAGTAGATTCTAGATTATTACCGTTAACCGTAGAAAGAGAGCAGCGATGAAGCAAGTGATGCCGTCGTCGACAGCTTGCACGGGCGGTGGCAAAATATCCGCGTGGTGATGGAGAAAGGGAGAGGAAAAATGCGGCCCGCGAAAATTGCATCGAATTATTAGTATTGTAATTACAGAGCAAAGCGGAGATTGCGACGATGATGCGGTAACTGATGGAGTAGCTGTCAACCGCGCAATCATCGCGTTCGCTCGCCAATGACATTCAATTAACGTTCGTGGACACTTGCTCGATTAAAAATTCGTGGATAATCGTAAAAATAGATCGGGCAATCGTGAGAGTGAATCAGTCGAGTCGATTAAATAAATCTCGAATGCAAGTTCTTTCAAAGCGATCGACTGTGTGATGTAAACACATAAAATATTTGTTATTCTGCTAACGTCAATGTGTATTTACCTCCTTGCATAAGACTTCCAGGTTGACCGGGTTGAGGGGATGGTCCTCCGGGTAGAGCAGTTCCACCTGCTAAAAGACTGCCGTGCTGGCCACCACCACCACCCCCGCCTTGCTGCGCGGCCTTCATCATCTTCTTGTATTTACTCCTTCTGTTTTGGAACCAAATTTTCACCTGCAAAAAAAATTGCAACGCATGCGCTTGAAATTTTTATAACGACTTTATACATGCTAATAATTACTATATAAGTATTTTTTTTTTATATATCTATATAAACTATTTAATTAATTATTTTTTGTGTACTACTTTATTTTAATTTGTCAGTTGTAGTTTACGGAAGTTTTATACAAAATTGTGATTTAAAAAAATGTATCGTTCGACTATCGATTCGGTCGTAGATAGAAATATACTTTGCAGACACACTATGAGGCATGCCTGAGTCTAATTCGATGCTTCGCATCATCGCTTCTCATCGCCGAGTTAAACTCGGCGACGAAGATGAAGAAAAAAAAGAACGCTTGTCGTTTCGTAATCATCGTTTCTTTTGCCTCCTCTGTGCAATGCATAGAGAACCGCAGCAGCAGGCAGCTTCGTTGTCCTGTGGCGCGAATACCGGTGCGCACGCGCGACCGCTAGGATTGCACACATGCGGTATTTTTTTTTTGTCTCAGCATCCGCACACATGCGCTGCATGCACGTGACGTGCTAGCTCAATCTTACGTAACCTTGCCTCGCGCGAAGTTAAGCGTTGCACGTATATACGCGAAATACGCGATATTCACGTTTTGCACGGCAGCTCCGGATTCAAAGAAAGACTAGGTGTATCTTCTGACATAGTTACATCAAAATTGTTTCACAAAACTAACACGTCGTTCTATAAAGACTTTTTCAACTTGTGTGTTCCGATTGCGCAATATCATCATATCTCGTTATTTATTTAAAAAAAAAGTATAAAGTATATCACAAAAATATATGTAAAGTAAATATAAAATATATCGTACTCGCTATATTCGCTATAGAGACGTGAAAAATACCGTTTCAGAATGAAAGATTACTTTCTTTTTCGCGATAATCTTACAGGTAGATCGCAAACACAGTCAAGCACTGTATTATTTTATTTGCATGCGATAAAAAAAATGATTTTTGTTACAGACAGAGACACGGCACAAAAACGATAATTACACTTTCTTTTTTTTGGTTATTTACGTGATAGTACAACGTTACCGAGTCAATGTTTGAACACATTGTGTGTGTGTGTGTGTGCGGTGCAATGCTGATAAAAACACTTTTCCTTGTAAAATGTGAGACACGTTTAAACGCGCGCGCGCGTGCGCGTTTTATTGTAATTAAGTAAGCCTGTTCTTTAGTTTTAATGAACTCGTTTCTATATGACGCTGCACTACTTCTTTCTATATGCGTTTCCCGCTCGTTTTCCTCCCTGTCTTCTAGCATCCCCATCGCCTGGCTGGACAAACTAACTTAGTTAATTAAAGTAACTGGCCGGCTTTTGATTGACGTTCAAGGTATAAAAAGTTGACAACACGAGCCGTGTGCACGCTGCCACCAGGCATTATATTGCGCAATGGAGGAATCACGGGTTGACGAAGTCAATATAACGAGAGATGTGATTCTCTCTCTGCCAAACAATTGCTCTCTGTGCACGATGTGTTCAAATAAAAAAAAAACGAATAGAATATAAAATTGATTTGGACAGTTTGATAAGTTACACAACACCGCAACAATAGTCTAAACCAACAACTGTAAAATTTATTGTAAAGATAAAAAAAGAATACAAAACAGTATTATAGTAACAATAATAATAATATTATTATTATTGTTATAAAGATGTAAAACGCAATATTTTTATGAGCAACCGCAGAAGATATAAAAAAAAAGGTCTGAAATAATCAATCAACAACGTGCCAGTCGCAGCTTTGTCGATGCAGATTTCACTTCCCGCTCACTCTTCCCTAAAATGCAGAACGATCGTGTGCCTAAAGCGAATCACAGTCTCTAGAAGTTAATCGTTAGGTAAGGCACGACACTTTTGCATTATACATAAGCACGAAAAAAAAAAAAAAACTAAAAATAAACCATAATTCCAATCTTGCTGAACACGCGTCGTCACACTCCCTCGTGGCCTCTTCATTAAAAGCGCGGCACGAGCTGAGGAAAGAAACGCAACGTTTATACGGCATTGCTTCACGAATCGTTCTGGTTTATACACGTGCATCTACAGAGTAGATTGTAAGGTTTCTTAGAATCGTTTCTCGTTCCTCTTTCATTTTTTTAACAGCAGATTCTTCGATCAATTTAATTTTATCAACAATCCGGAAACAAAAGAGAACAGAAATATTCAAGAGAAGTCGATTAAAATTTAAATTTGCAATCTGACAATTATAAAAAGATAATTAATGCCAGACTTTACAGAAAAAAATATACGTCTGAGCAAAATCGTTGGAACACACTTGTCGTCAGTGCCTCTATGAGCATATTATGAAAAATATGATAATATCGACCGTGTATCGCCTTTGGTTGGCGAGCGTGCGCTTGGCGTGCCGGTGCAAATAAATCTCTTTCTAATTGCTCGCTGAAAAACTTGGCCGCAGTTGCGCCGAGTAGAGATGGCGCCCGACAAAGGCCAGCAGCGCTAAAACCCGATCTCGGACATGCTTTATTTCGCTCAACTGGTCGGTCGGCAGGCCAGTCGGGACGAGCGGATTGCGTTCGCCGCCACGGCGGTTTGTTTATTGATATTTACAACCGGCGTGTTGACAGGCCACGGCGCGCATCGACGGTAAGGGATGCGCCTTCGCTCGCGAGGATAATGTCGGGGCGATTGCCTTTTTTCGTGCGATGTGCCGGCGGCTTCTCTCTCTCTCTCTCTCTTTCCCGTTCTCTCGCGGCATGTGGGATATATAGTTGCGCGTGTCACGGCGCGCAAAGCTTTAATTAATATCTTTTTTCCAGGTGTCGTCGGAACACGTTAGACACTCGTACGAGAACGCTTCTTATCGCTATCGCGATAAATTCCGCGCAAACCAACTGAGCCGCGTTTTACGATTCGGTATCTTCTGACTTCTACTTCTGATGTATGTTACGCACATAATAATAAGTTTGCGTGATTATTTCATTCCGGTCGATAGAGAAAGTCTTGAAACGCGCATGTGAAAAGATGGAGTTTTACGGCGCGAAGTGTGGTCCCGAGATAATAATGATTGTTCTCTCGCGGGTGAGTACGACGACGACAGGCTCGGTCGTCAGTGATTTATTACTTCTTGCTCTGCTCTTTACTGCGTTATTAACATTCTTCCTATCGAACACTTCCCACAATTTGCGTACCGCTCTTGAAAGAGAAACTGTCATTCTTTAGAAATTTAAGGTCATGTACACAATACCTTGTTCCAACGATACAATAACTTTCTCTCTCTCTCTCTCTCTCTCTCTCTCTCTCTCTCTCTCTCTCTCTCTCTAAATTCATTAATTTATTATAAATCTTTTATCTATTTAGGTTTAATTAGATACAAATCTTGTTTCCGTTTATTTTCTTACAAAAAGTTCGAGAAAGATTACACACGAAGAAAGCGCATCAGGTGTTATAAATAAATGAAGAAATAAATGGCATTACTTCGCGGATAAGCAATAGAGCCGTCGGATGGCCGCGAGGTAGCAATCAAAATCGCTTTACGTCGGCAACATTATACAACAGCGACGCGAACGAAGCGTCTTCGAAGCGGTGTGTTCTCGCGCGGCTTCGCGTCTTAAAAGAAGAATATATTCGAACGAGCGAAGCGAGGGATACGAATGTGCCCTGACGCCAACGGGCACCAACAGGCACGGTGGCAAGCTGTCGTTATCTCTCGGTTGGACTTAGACGCGCGTGTTCTCTCCGCGCGTCGAATAGCCGTCGGGTGGCCGCGCGCGAGCGAACAAAAATTGCGGCCAGAGCAGCCGGTGGTCGCCTCACCACCTCACCTCGTCTCGTCTCGCCTCTCTCGTGAGGGCAAAAAGAAGAGGCGAGAGGACGCCGTTGCTGCCGCTCTACGCTGATGTTGCCGCGACCAGCAACGGGCTTCCGACGTCGCCGTGGGCGAGGAACTCGGTAACAGTTCGCGTTGTCGATATCGCTGATGCATACTCAATGAGCGACGGATCGTCGCCCGGGGGTAAAAAGGAACGGGAGAGGAGAAGCTGGCGGGTAGAGGATTGGGAGAGCGGGTTGCAATCTAAGAGACAAGTAAGATTTTAGACGAAAAAGTGCAGCGCGAATCGAAGCCGATGCTGTTTAATATGTATGAGTGGTATCTAGGAGTAATATTATGTCTGTATAAATGGAAACGCTCCCACCCGATTCGATCCGCGTCGGGCCTGCATCCTTGGATCGCGATGCAGCTCGATGATTTGAAGACGTTACGCCTAATACGAGGGGGGACTGCGGAAGGATGAGTCGTTAGAAGTTGCGACCTTCTTTTTGGATGACTGAAACTGCGGATGTGACGTCAGTGCACATCGTTACGGAGAAATATTTCATATAGATGCGGTGCCGATAATACAATAATCACAAATATTAAAATAATATATGATATATTAAATGATATAATATTAAATAAAGACAATACAACGCGAGTAAGACATTGTTTGAAAAAGTGTCTCGGTTGTAGTTGCGTACATATTTGTTGTTGCTTATTTCGCGTACAGCACGTTGTTCGGTATTTCGAATCGATAGTGTTTGCTCTGCCAATATTGGTCGAGATGACATATGTGGTCGGCAAACTCAATTGTTGTAAATGCGATTAACATTTAGAGACAAAAATATAGTTCTCGACTTGTGATAATGCGCGTCTCGACGGTGGTAAATTATTTCTTTATGCGTAATTCTAGAAATTGCTAATTGCCATTGTAGAATTGCTATATCTTGTGGAAGTGTTATACGGTTTATGTAGTTTATGTGTGATGTACACAAATATACATACACATATATCTGCTATCTTATTTAAGACCTAATAAATTAAATAAACTATTGATTCTATTATGATGCGTTAGAATTCGGCAAATTACCTCAACAAGTGTCAGTCGACTGCAATTACGTTATGTGCGATATATGTTCTCTGTTGTTAACCTCATCGTAACTCATCCTTCATCTGATTAAAACGGAGGTTGGACAATTAAATACA